GATGGCATAACGCATGCTGCTTGAGTAGTAGTTTGGCTGGCTGCAGCAAGTTATACATTTTTCTGTGAGCAAAAGTAGATTTCTGGCAATACAGTCAATCATTATCCTGGTGATTATTTCGCAGATAAACCTATTAACCCCGCCGCCTTAAAAAAAAAACGTCTCTTTTGAACGGCTCTGGGAAAGGAACGGAGCCAATTCCCATCACTAGTTTGGAGAAAGCTGAAGATAGTGGAGGACAGGAATCCACTCACTGGATAAAGAGACATCTGGAGACGGGACAGAGACAATCAGCGGACAGAGGAACATACAAGACACCTTTTTAAAAATGGATTTTAACCACAAAGACAATCCGTTTGTTTTTGTTTCAAGATATTTGCAGTCCACTTCCACCAATGATGGCTGCTGTGGATTACATGATATGAAGAGGAGAGCACCTGTAAACTGTTTAAAGTGGACGATATTGAGAAAGTATATGTTCTGATGTGTTTTTGTACTCTTCAACGGTCAGATTTATGTACAAATGTCACATGAAGTCGATGCGGTTTCACCTTTTTCAACTTTTTGACACCTTGACCAAAGATTTGTAACCAGAGCTGCAGCTGAAGATTATTTTCATATCGATTAATCTATCAATTGTTTGGTCTATATACTTTCAGAAAGAGTGAAAAAATGCCCATCCCAGTTTTTAAAAAGTCCAAAACCTAAAGAGATTTACTTTAATAAGATATAAAACAGAGAAAACCAGAACATCTTTATATTTGAGAGGCTGAAAAACATACTTTTCTGCAATTGTTTGCATAAAAAATAATTAGCGGTTATAAAAAACAGTATTTTTTTAACAAAGACAGTGACACATTTACTATTTTTCTTGAAATAAAAAATGCAGTGCATCTTCCCTGGACCTGATGCAGTTTCCTTTATCCAGAAAATATCTTTGTGGCACAGATTTCTGACGCCTACGAAGAACCACTTTTTCCCCCTATAGGCCAGGAGGTGTAACTGCAGCCTGTTTAATAACCGTGTATATATATGTGTATGTATGACAGAGTGAATGATAAAGGTCCTCCAGCAACTGAAGAGAAGAAGCCCCTCTTTAGTTATTTATTTGAGTGGTTCCCATGGAGACGAGTGCTTTACCGGTCCACGCTGGCCTCTCATTGGCTGTGGGGTTGCCTCTCCTCCAATCACAGCCTTTGAACTGAATTCAAGCTGCTGGATGGGAGAAGCAGATATTGAAAAACCTAAATATGATTAGACACATTTTAAAAGTGCATGTATATAAATATATTTTCTGTGGGAGATGATCATTCCACATGTGTACGATGGATCACCAATGTTAAAAAAAAGTATAATAATATTTGATTGTACAGATGACAGTATTTTACAGCTATTGATCTGTGTGGCGAACATGAGGTTTAATCAGTTTCAGACACGACCTGCACACAGTACCTCTAAAGTGTTTATTTTGTACTATATGTAATCCTTTCCCTCCATGCACTATAAACTGACCTCTGATCAGAAGTACTGTATGTGTATCAATGTACAGCATGACTCAAGTATTACAATTAATTCAATCTCTAAAGGTAGAAAATGCGCCAGCATGACGGGATTATTCTGGATTTCCCCCAAAACAATCAGATTAGATATAAAATACCAGGGTGTTTCAGTATTCAGTAGCTAATTAGACTTCTGTATGTGCCTTATTTTACATTTCTAGTGTTCAACAGTTGATCTTCACAAGGATTGCTCTTCTGAAATAAACAAAATACTAATTATGTGTACACTTTACAGCATAGTGGTGTGATTTCTACATTGATGCGGCTTTGCTCAGTCACATATTGACAGTTAATTTTTATATCAGTCATTTCTATTAAAAAGCAGTGCTTAATTTAAAGGGGACCTAAGTGCAAAATGCACTTTTTGATTTCTTTTATACATAAATATATGGGTACCGAGGATACCTATGGTACGTGTGGGTACGGTGTGTCGGGGAACTCACGCAGCGTCAGAAAATAAAACCCTCTCTCTTTTCCTCCGTACCCAAATCTCTAAAAACGGGGGTACAACGGAGCTGATCCAGATTTGCGTCCGATATGACGTAATATCTGAGATGTGGACCCACGGCCCTATCAGAAACGTTGCTATCAGAAACAATGCCCGACTGTTTTGGACGTAATATGGTCGGTGTTTACATTAGCATCGCTAACACTCAGAGCTAACCTGTACTGGAGAGCATCTGTGTGAAGAAGCAGGAAATAAAAAGGAACTCACCTTGTGGTATAACCGGCAAGAGAGAAAGCCTTTGAGCTCCATACTGTTTCAGAAATAATCCTTGATAGTCCATGATATGGCGTTTCATCACGGCAGTATTTAGTTTAGACAGTAGCTGCCGGGTCCCACATGAGCTCAGCCCCCTCCATTTTCTTTTCTTTTTTCAAGCTTTATACATAAAATCAGCACTTTTGAAACAGGAAGTGAAATAGAGGGATATGAGGCATGGCTAGAATGGGTGATCTGTTTGGTATTTTGAGCAAAACACTTCCTAGACATGTTTTTTTATATATTTTTATATATCTGAGACCTATGCTATTGCCTAAAAATAGCCTGATGGGTGACCTTTAAGAAAACAGAGGCCAGTTGACGCCTATAAAATAAAGAATACAAACTTATCTCTTTGCTACTTAAAAAGAAGGGCTGCATTTCTCATACATCATGCCATATCTTGAAGATTAGCACTTCAGTTAGATACCATGATTGTGATTTAATTCTCTTTCATGTCCTGCTGTGTCTCCATGTAGAGGTCATACGTTTGTCTTTACTGTTCTACCTTTATGCTAATCCATTATGACTGCTCACACTGTGTTGATTGCTTCAATCGGACACACCCAGATCCCTTTGTTCCCGATTTGACTTCAAAATTGGATGGCTCTAAATCTTTAATTTATGTGATTTATTTTGAGAATTGTTGTGATTTACACCCACACAATTCCCCCCTGCAATTCCTCTGATTGGTCCTGATTAGTTTTGAGTAATGCTTGTTATACAAACGTACTGCAATGCCCCCTACTCTGTATTTCCTAGCAGGTGGATAATAATTGCAAGAGAAATACAATCTGAAAACGTAGCTTCCAGACAGTATTTCAAATCAAGGTGGTTTCATATCTGCCCCGAGGAAACACTTGCATATTGTATTTCCAAGAGTAGACATGTCTGCTTAATATTTTAACGAAGGCATGACAGATTTCTCGACAGTCATTGTGGTAGCCATTTCCTGTGACTCATAGTTTATTCAGCAGTGTGATGATAATGTCATCCCAAATCCCGGCTGTCGACGTGTTTAATTACAAAGCCTGGCGACGTTGCATATTTAAATGTTTTTTTTTTCCACAATCTCATTTTTGTTTTAAAACCATTTCCTCATGGCCTCATTTTCTTTTTTCTCCTCTCATTTGATTCAGTGCAAGGAGCTGTGAGTTTATGAATATTTAAAGTGTGTTATTCACAAAATCTTTATTTAATGCTGCCGACATTCACGGGGCCTCTTGGAGGATTTTTAAACGCTTTGGTTAGGAATCAAGCAGGGACGTGTTGTTTCCCACCGTGAGCGTGCATTTTCCCCTTCTGTTCAAACCTCACCTGCACAGACAGAGCATATGCTTTATTCAGGTGATGTCTCCTTCATGCGAGGCTCCTGGCTCAAGTGGATGCAGCTGAGTCATTCGTCTCACACGGAACATGGTTGGGGGCATAATTTAGGAGTCAGGTATGGTGAGAAGGCGAAAAATGTGCAGGCTGCAGGAAGAGACCAATCAGCAGCTTTTGTTGCTTATTGCTAAAGAAACATGGCACTGGCTTCTTTATTCATGAGAAACCTACAGACACAAGACGAGGCACGGCTCATTTTCTCCCGGTCTCACTCTGCATAAAATACACAGTCAGTGGATTCAAGGCTTTTATTGTCATTCGTTCATAGCTTCAGTGTAGTTATGTCGATGAAAATCTGAGGTCCCAGGCTCCTCCAACAGTGCAACACAATAAAACAGATAAAATAGTGCAAGTAAATACAATAAAATAGAATGGAAGGTGGTGTGTAGGTCACACAGGGCCGTTTCTTCCTATAGGTCAGTGTTTCTCAAACTTGTTCATACCAAGGACCACTTAACCAAATAAAAAAACACTCGCGGACCACCTAACTCCACAAATATCCAAAATCACAGTTTTTCTAGAACAGATTACAAATCGCCTGAAAATGGTACAAACAAGTTGCAACATGTGTGATGAAGGTGTTGCGCTGGTCTATATCATGCAATCGAAAGTGAAACTTAAGCTCGCTCCATTGCGGAGATATTCCCGCGAGAGTGCGAAAGCTCAAATTAATTAATTTAAAATGTGAAATGTTACCAAGATACTCACGGACCACTAGGGGGCGCTCACGGACCACCAGTGGTCCGCGGACCACACTTTGAGGAGCACTGGATAGGTGGAAGTAGTACTCCGATATTGTTATAATTTATAATTTTTATATATTTTATTTTGGGACGGATAATCTTTATTGGAAAGTGACATTAATATAAGATTAACTTGTATTCACCCAAAGAGAGGATGAAATGCAGTATTGGCATCAAAATATAGTTAAAGTACCACAAGTAAAGTACTTATTGTGGGTAATGGCCTATTTCAAAATCGATTTACTGTGTGTGTGTATTTATATGTATGTGTATATATATTCTATCTATCCATCAATCTGAATCTGTAAAGTCAATAAAACTGTCAATAATTGTGTGCTAATGACCTCTGGTTGTTTAAAAGCCTAATTTTGTTTCCCATTTCCAACAATATTTGCATCCAACATTTTAAATCTTAGCTTGGCCCCTCTTGTCATCTTTTATCCCAGCAGGTTCAATGGAACCCCGAAATGCGTTGTTTTTCATTTCCAGAATCTGTTTGTTTTAATTTTTTTGTATTTAACGTGCCTTTATCTTCCCATGTGTGTACAGAGAAAGTGTTCGGGGAGTTTCTGAGCTGGGATCTGGACGAGGCGTTGTCTCACCTCCCTCTGAAGTGCGGCCAGGCGTTAACGCTGACAGTCAGAATCAAAGTGAAACTGGACTTCTCCGGCCAGGAGAGCCTTCTGCAGGACCTCAACGATGGTGAGTGCACACACACCGGCTTCATTAAGAGTAAACCTGCTTATTGTAGCGGTAAAAACTCCCTATGCCGCTGAGAGGCTAAAAGTTGCTCTTTGCTGTGACGCGTTCCGTGTAATGGCGCATTTCCACTATATGGCCTCGCTCGGTATGGTTAGGCCTCGTTAGGACTGGCTCACTTTATGGCGCATTTCCATGACAGTTTAGGAACTGGGGTAGTATCTATAGTAACGCAGTGTAGGCGGAGCCGTGACGTCATCTTCAATGAGAGCCCCAGAAAAACAACACAGCCGTTAGCTGTTAGCACTCAAGCTCACAGCTCCTCATATATGTTCAGAAACTAGACAAAAGTGAAACAAGTACAAACCACAGACTGTCTGTGTCATGGAGAATACATTCGCTGGTTTATTTATGTCTGTAGGCCGTTGTTGTGAGTGTGGACGGTCGGAGCATATACGGCGTTAGCTTAGCCGATCTCCATTTCGCCTGCCGTCTGTCTGCAGACTTGTCAAAGCATTAATTCATGGTTTTTACTAACCGGTATCAGTATGTTGTTACTTCGGCATCATTTTGAAACGTGTATTACAATTAAATCACGGTCAAATATGTTTATTTTGTTGTAGTTGTAGCCCCCTTGCCAGCGATTCTCTCTCTAGTTTAGCATACTCAGCCCGACTCAGCCTGGTTGCTGGCCCGGAAAGAACCTCGATTTTATGGGGCCAAACTGTGAATTAGTACCCGCAAACGCAACCAAAAACAGGCCCTGCTCGGCTCGGCACGCTTCAAGCGAGCTCCGCGCTGTAGTGGAAATGCGCCATAAGAGTCCGTAGTCATTTATACTCCATAGTGTTTCATAAAACGAAGAACAAACAATATACAACTCCAGACCACACGGTCAACAGAAAGTCTCAGAGCAAATTCACCATCTTCCTACGTCATATCCCCAAACCGGCATCCAACAGGTTGCCTACAGTAAATACCAATAAACCACACCCACTTGACCATTGCCGTAAGTGACAAACAATAAGAATTAAACGTGATGCAAACAGAAATGCAGATAATAATATAAATAATAACAATTTCAAAACGAGCAATTTGACTCCTACACTGCTGATAGTTTTAGTTTATTTGTTTATAGTGTCGTGGACAGTCCCCATTGATCAACTGTCACACTGTCATATTTATTTTTCAAACAGAATAACAGAATAACAATACATGTCATTGTTCAATTTTTTTATACTGCACTTATTCACATAAAAACATGGATTGGTACTAAGCCTACAGTATATATTCATATGGCTGCCGTCACACTATAATTCAAAGGTTGCAATACAGTCATTGAACGAAACCATGGCCAACAAATTGGTAATCTTTTTCTAAATGTGGCATTTTGTGGTTTCCATTTGATGGATTCCTGAACAGAGGAATGGACAGTAAATGGACGGTTGCTTTTATACGGCGCTTTTATTGGAAGTGCTTTACAATCCGCTTCTTATTCTACCGTTTACATGCACTCTCGAACCAAGGGCACTGGCACTTTGGTGTCTTTCTCAAGATGAGTCCTGTCTGCTAAACACAATCCTGCATTAAGTGGAGAACCCACTGAACCTGAGCCTCTAGAAAGGTGTTTACAACAAGAGAAAGATTCATTTCGCACAAATGCTAAGAATAAAGGCTGTTTATGAAATGAAAAAAAAATAACTTCAGGGAGGTGAGGTCATGAAAAGGTACACATCGCAAAGGTTTTCCTTGTAAAATATGTATTATATATTAATATTATAACTTTTATAAAATTATGATTTTGGAAGATTTTAGAAAATGTACATATTCACTTTCAAGGTAAGCTAATTAAAATATAAGCTAACAATGTATTAACCTTCCTATTGTCTTCGTTTCCCCCCTTACTTTGGTGTTCGTGGTCAAATTTGACCGGTCCTGCTTTAACTGCTATTACATTAACACAAAAACCATTAATCATCACCACATTTCATTTAACACCCTTTCAAACTGTACATATTGTATCAGACTACTGGTATACATGAACAACTGCAGTAAATATACAAAGAATAGACAGTGTGTGTGTGTGGGTGTGTGTGTGGGTGTGTGTGTGTGGGGGGGTGGGGGTGTGTGTGTGTGCAGTGGCAAGTGTAGACCCAAATCAGAAGTTTACCCCGCTCACACCTTGCGTGTGTGTGTGTGTTGTGTGTGTGTGTGTGTGTCCGTGTGTAGTGGTGTTGTGTGTGTGTGTGTGTGTGTGTGTGTGTGTGTGTGTGTGTGTGGTGTGTGTGTGTGGTGTGTGTGTAGTGTTGTGTGTGTGGTGTGTGTGTGTGTGTGTGTGGTGTGTGTGTGTGTGTGTGTGTGTGGTGTGTGGTGTGTGTGTTGATAGGAAGTAGGAGTCCGCGACACCCTCGCGTCTCTCTCTTCCGGCACTCTCTCTCTTCTTTTGTCTCAGGACGTACCATCTATACCAAGTGGACCCGTTTCTCTCTTGAAGTAAGTATAAGTACGTGTATAAGTGTTAGAAGAAAAGGGTACTTTCCCCCCACCCTCGTCGACTACAATCAATGTAAAAAATAATTTCTGATACAAGTGGGTCACGACTAACCATGAACTGGACGGACCAAGGTAGTTCCTGTAACTTATAATATTGCGGTGTCCTAAAGTAATTTAGGCAGACTTGTTACCCGCTGTTACCCTTCCAAGATTCAAATCGTAAAGTTATAGACACCTTTATATTGACCAACAATACTAATGATATTTGTTGCTCCCTCGTCGTTTCCAATAGAATCTTATTTTTTGTAACTTCATATGGATGGGTTATGGAAATGTAGAACATTGCAATACACATCTAACACGTGTTTTTAATTACGTAAGTTGACACATCAGAATACCAATTCGATTAAGGAATTAATTCTTAATAGGAAATTTGTACTTGAGTTGGGGAGGGACAACAGAAACGAGTTTAGACTGGTTAAATGATGAAAGTAGGTAGTATTGAAAAAACAAAATGTAAGCTGACGTAATTCCCGAAAATATATAGGAAGTGTCATCTGTAAACTTGTATATGTTGAACGACTAGGGTGTGAAAGTAACTTAAACCTACTAAATCAGTTGAAACTTGAACCTGGCGGTATTTCCTTAATCCTACGTCTAGTCTAGTGTGTGTGTGTGTGGGTGTGTGTGGTGTGTGTGTGTGCGGTGGNTGCTTTACAATCCGCTTCTTATTCTACCGTTTACATGCACTCTCGAACCAAGGGCACTGGCACTTTGGTGTCTTTCTCAAGATGAGTCCTGTCTGCTAAACACAATCCTGCATTAAGTGGAGAACCCACTGAACCTGAGCCTCTAGAAAGGTGTTTACAACAAGACAAAGATTCATTTTTAGAAATAAGAGTTTAATGTGCAGCTGTACATGATGCACTGTGTTAAAATGATTCTGTGTGCCTTATTTAAGATGCAGCAGAGATATCTCAAGGTGTCTACACCTCCATGTCTCGCCTAGCTCTCGCCTTCCTCACATCAACTGTCAGATCTGCTCTTTTCTAATTCTTATTCCTGCCTTAAAAGAAATATTCTGACCTCGTCTCATACCTCGAGACTCGATCATTGTGTTCCTCCTCCAGTGTTTCCCATCCTCAGCCTCCTTTCTTTCCTGTCTCACTCCCCTTCTTCACACTGTTGAACCTCCTCACTACAGTCTGATACATATTAATGTGTGTGTGTGTGTGTGTGTGTGTGTGTGTGTGTGTGTGTGTGTGTGTGTGTGTGTGTGTGTGTGTGTGTGTGTGTGTGTGTGTGTGTGTGTGTGTGTGTGGATGACTGGGTAAGCAAATACATGCGACGCTGCATGTTTGTCTCAGCCTCAGTGCCTCTCACCTCATGAGGTCATTTAAGCCGCACTGACTGTTTCAATGTTTTAATTAGCAGTGCAATAATTGGTCCTCTGAATTAAGGAGATAAGGCACGGTTCTGTCTAAACAGCAGCTCTGAATTCTGTTATGGTGGTGACATTATGAATCGTCGTTTTTGCTGAGCACATTTGATGCTATCTACAACTCTAATACATAAATAACATCATACAATAAAGTTTTGTAGCATACTGATAAGCTTATTTGCATACCGACGGTTGTTTTCACCATCAAGGAGGTTGGGTTTAAAGTTGGGTTTGTTGGTTTTCCTTTTTCTCCTGTCAGCCGTATTATGTAAAACTACACCTCCAAATTTCATGAACAACTTATTGTATTTTTGCCTTTTCTTCTATTATGGAAACAGCCTTGTGCTCTTTGTAAGCCCTTTTTAGTTTGCTTTGTTTCCAGTCTTTGCTCCTGTGTGCTGCGTCCTTACAAATTAAACATCATGACTATTATAATACACAATGGATGCTCTCAACAACTGTTCAATCATGGTCACAGAAGAATGTAATGCTACCACATTGTCCCCATTAGTGAATCATTCCCTTGTTAAAGGCAACGACATAACAGGCTTTTTACCTGAGTATCTTTACTTAGGTGCTGTTTACACGGGAACGCAAACGGGTTGTATCTGCTACTTTTCTCTCACGTATAGCCCGTCCGTT